TGAGACACACCTCTCACCCCACTTCATGCTTCTTCCGCCAGGCCCTCAAGTCTCTTCTCCCCCATCATGTCATCCAGTCCCTCCCAGAAGTGCTCATCTCTGAACTATCACCCTCCCCTCACAGATTGCAGCCAGCTGGCTCAGAGTTCTCACACATAGCTTTCATTTGAGCCCAACTGCCAATCTGCCCTCTCCTATAGGAGGGTCAGGAAGTCAGGACAGATTCTCTCTCTCTCTGACCCCTAGTGCACCACCCTCCTCCCCAAGGTTTCTCTGGAGACTATGAAGCAAGTCAGGTGGCAGGTGACATTTGGCACCTCTTGTGCATCTCGAGAGATGGTCGTGAGGGAAGCTGACATTCAGGAGCAGGAAGAAAATAAGCTGTGTGGCCTTGGAGGCTTGTGACTGGGTATTAGAGCCTTGTGAAGGTGACTGGGTACATGTGTGGGAGAGGAAGGGGGTACAGGGTGCCCCATAGGAAGGCTGGCTTGGCCAGCTGCCATGGCCGGGAGCCCCTTCCTCCTGCCAAACAAAGCTAGAAATAAGGGGCTAGATCAGGTGACCTAGGAAAAAATTGTTTTCTGCTTTAACTTTCTGTGAGTTCAAAAGGTAAAGGTCTCTGGGACTTGGAAACCCCCTTTACCTGATTTTACCTACTCAAGACCACCTCAGGAAATAGGGTTTGTCTCTGTAGGATGCCAGACCCAAACTCTGCTTTAATGTCAATCAATCAGTAAATCAGTAAAAGCAGATTGTGCACAAGGAAGCTTGGAATTCTCCCCTCCCCTACCATTCAACTTTCCCCTTCCTCCTCCATACTCAAAATCCCCCACAGGAAAGCCAGAATGGAGGGACTGAGAATACACTTTTCCCTTTCACTGCCTTCTCAGTGCCTTACCTGTGCCACCTGGATCATTCTCCCCACCTACCCCCCAAAATGACCTGAAATCATGTCAGTTCCCTCACAGCAGGGTTGTTCTTGTTTCATGACATGGAATCATCCTGGGGCTGAGGGATCAGCCTAGGGACATGCTTGGGGCTCAGCCAACCCCCTTTCCTGTCTAGCTTGGGATAAGGGAGTAGAAAAAGAAGGCAAGAATGACTTCGAAATTAGGGAATCCAGTTGCCCAATCTTCTAGGCTCTAAGGCTGGGACTGGGCCCTGAGTTCCTCAGAACAGGAAAAAGAGAGGGGCAGAGTAGGGCAATGGTGGAGCCAGGTGACCTTCGGATTATCTGAGACGTTATAAAGTGCACCTTTAGTCAGCAGCAGGGGAAAGGACAGTCGTTTCTGTGCACCTTCTGCCTCAGCCCCCACCCAAGCCTTCCTTACCCTTTCCCTCTCTGGGGACTTTGAACGATGGTGGAGATAAAGCCCTGCAGCTAAGGACTAGCCCAGACCCTGAGAGTGATCCTGCCAGGGCAAATCCGAAGATAACCTATAAAAAAATTTCTCATTTCCTTCCTCCCTCCCTGCTCGAAAATGGCCAACTTCATTTCATTTTTTTCTGAGCTCTTGTTGCTCACAACCCTGGGGGCTCCCAACCCCATGAAAGGAGAAAAACCAGGAGTTCCAGGTCGACACTGGTTTGTCACCTCAGAGTTTACATGTTCACAGCCCTATTTCACCTACTCAGTTCCATGTAAGAAAATGAGTTGGAGAAAGGTCTACCAATAAATATTACATTTATCTCTCATGCCCACTGGACATGGATTAACCCTCAAATTTGGGGGCCGGGAGGAGGCTCCTGAGGCTCTTCAGAAAAGCTCCTCTCCTACCCCAACTGCACCCTCAGTCCTGGGTCAAAAATTCAAAACTTCTAGCGCCTGCTTGTCTTGTTAGCCAACCACTTTGTTTGGTGTGGTGGGTGAAGTCTGGGGACCAGAGGAAGGCAATCCGGTAACCAACCTAGCCAATGAGGCTAGAAAACTTTATTTTCCTCTCCTTGGCTTCCCCTTTCCTGGGCAGGCAGGAGGTGGGGGTGGGAGACGGGGTTATATATGCCGGGGTCAGAGACTTCGAACGCTGGAGCCGGGACTGTCAGGAGAAAACAGCTCCTTAAAAGACGGGACTTCGGCCGGCCGGGTGGCGCACTGCTACAGTGTGCCAGTGCGCCGCTTGGAAAGCGCGGCGGCGCTACCGCCGGAGGTTCGGATCCCACATACAGACCGGCCACTCACTGGCTGAGCGAGGAGCGGGGGCAACGCC